CTGACTAGAACGAATCTTTCAATTCTTAGTCAGGCACTTATGACGAACACATTAAGAAAAATCAATAATAATTGGGCTGCGCTTTCGAGAGTGCATGAGTCTCAAAACTTGTATGACTTAGTCGTTAGGTGTGAAAAAGATTTGTTCATGAAACTGATGCAGCACACAACAGTTCTCTTATTGAAATTTTTGTGACGACTGTTTTATTCACTTACAATTGTCTTCATCAGTTGATGTTACTTCAACATTTTGTGACGCATTTGTTTCAAATGCGTCACAAAATGTTGAAGTAACATCAACTGATCAAAACAGTTGTGATCACTTATCTGATTGGATCATCAGTGCCTTGATGACGCAAAAACTTTTCATAGACTAATGTAAATAATTCGTTATTTACTAATTGTAAGTTAACAACGATAAGCACATCAATTTGTTATTATGTACTGCACTCACCACTGCGAATGTGATTCGATGCTCGCTAAAAACAACTTCGTTCATTCTCTTTCCAAAACAACATCCAAAAATTCGAAAAAGAAAGCAACAATTCAGTCTTGGTTTCCGTTTACTCTCATTTTTTCTCACTAACCGTAAATTCTATGAGACTTCTATAGATTAATACTCAACAAAATAGCACTTTTAGGACACTAACACTCAAAAAAGGTGGATGGATGCCGTGTAAACCAATTTAATCATTGACAATTTTTGTTTGATCCGATTTGAATCGGTAAAATCAAAGGAAAGTTTTGCATCCGAAAGCTCAAAATGCTTCTTTGCCTGTGCATGCTCGATACATTGTGCAGATCGAACGCTATAAAATGTAAATTCAAGTACGCAATAAAAATGCATGCCATTGCCTACACACACCTCTAAAGAATCATCACCAACCTCACGAGCCATTCCTTCGGCCTTCCCTGTGAATGCTTATAATGATCACCCGCAAAAGTGGTTGCATGATGAGCCAATAAAAAGGGCTCAACCAACGATAATGTACCAGATTTTATAACAGCTGCTTCCATTTCTTTTGTACTTCCAAGTGTACAGATCGCTAAGCATGCATAATACCGTGTTAAATCATCTGGTTGCGACGCCAATAAAAACAACCAATCTGGTACCTAAATGAAGCAATCGATTTTCAAAAAGTGATCAATCCATTGAATTCAAGCATTACCATAAAAGCCTTATGGCTATCAAATGCCCATAACTTCAACAAATGAACCTACTGAACTTTTAGGGGATTGCAGTGCAGAAAAGGAATGTTGACTGCTTATTTTGGTCAGTACAATGAGAATGTTTACGTCAAAAAGTGAAAGAATGCAGTTCCGCACGATGAAAACTGCAAAACATCAGGAAAGTGAATGAATACGATTGACAATAATATGACTGAGTGCTAAAAAAGACTGTATTCAATAGGAAGAGACGTGAAGCTATAAATGTGATGCAGATGTTAATTTGATAGATGAATGGAGTTATTGTGACTTTAGAAATTAGATTTAGAATATTTTGATCGAATTGGTTACAAATTGCTATTTCCAGAAAAAAAAAANAAAAAGATGCCTTTTGTTGACTTTAAAAAGATGCGGATCTTCAAATGTTACACTCTAAAAAGTTTTACTTAACACTTTAAATTTTGGGGTTTCCCTATGCAAAAAACCTGAATACGACGCAGTAACGTTCAACATGCATGCATGATGTTTTCAAAAAGGTAAAATGACTTCACATGAAAAATATGAAAAATTAACGAAACACTATAAAATAGCACTGGCTCAAATGAATAATTTGGTGAGACAATGCAATTGAAGAGTATTATGTGTGAGTGTTGTTAATTAATTTTGTTTTCATTCAAAATACTCACCTTAACCGGTTTTCATCTGTTACATTACACTTCAACTTATTAAATGAACAAACTGCCTCACTCCTTCGAGACGTACATATAAGGAATTTGAATACGTCATTGAAAGAAACACTTCGCGAATGAGACATTATCACAGATCACTCAATTGATCACTTTAAAGTTCTATTTTTCGAAATGGATCAATGAAATCAACGGAATGACTCTTCAGCAAAAGGTAGGGATGATTATAATATCTCACTGTTATCAGATGATGCAATATTGAATCAGAGTGATTGATCAATGCACAACGTATAATATGGGCATCACCATGACAAGATTATTCACTACTTTCAGTTAATAACCAATTCAATCGGTTTCATCTCAAACATCTAATTTCCCTGATCAGTAAGAACTGAGAACCGTTAATTCGCAAATGAGTATCAGAAGTAACTGAAATGTTAGATCATTTAATCTAGTGATATCTATCTTCGACTTAATTTTACTCAAATGTTAACTTAAGTGAAGTTAAGCCAAAGTGCATGTAGATGTGCCCTTCTTTTATATACGCAATGACAAATCCGAAAATGGCGCTATTGTAATAGTGATGACTGAAAAAAATTACCGTTGCTATGAATGACAATTATATGTCTGATATGAAATCGAATTAACTTTTGCTGATCTAGAAAAGGATGTTTTTGAAATGACTGAACATTTGGGCAGCATTTCCTTTAGTTCGTCAACTCGGAATAGTTTTGGAGCATTTTTGTGTGGCTAATTGGAAGGTGGACGACGACAACGTCTACTGCATGACATTTATCAAATTAGTTATAATACAAAATCAGTATGCTTGCGGGTGGTTGTTGTGCAAAGGTAATGATAATACAACGTATAGAGAAGTGAATGAACTGGAGAACGTTATTGATTCGGAATACTTGCTTGCCATTGTACCATAAATTATCAAGGTATTTTATGTTTTCGTGCTTTGAATCGACATGTGTAATCGATGAATTTCGATTTCATTCCAATTACAAAATGTCAATGTCAAAGAAGACAGCTAAACCTCTGCAAAAAATCCAGTAATACCATACGAAAGGAATACTATTAAGAATTTGATCGATTGTTCAATGAGTAAACTACAGCAAACTACAGTAAACAGTAAACTACAAATAAACGAATCAAGGTTCAAAGAGCATTCATGCGCACATGTATCCCCTGATAAGTGCGATCTATTTCGCATATTCGAGATAAAACGAGTTTAGATCGGAATCAATTTGACCAGCGAAACACTTGATTCAATGATCTAGTGAGGAAATCCCAAACTTATGCCCGATGACACAAGATCAGATCAAAACATGATTCTGTACGATCCATCGACAGTCCAGACATAATAAAGACTCAATTGAGATTCGCCAAGCTGAGAAATAGCTGATAAGACAGATAACCAATTGATAAGACTAAGATCAGGACGTTCAAGGAGGTTCCATTCCAAGGATTCGCACTGACCAAATTTGACAGTTTCAATCGACAAAAAAGTTTTGTTGATAAAATAAAATTTGAGGGAATGTTGATGAATGAAGAATTAATAGTATGCGGAAAGAATATCATATTGAGTATGGTGAATGCAAGTGTGGAATTTTTTTTCGAAAAATTGTGAAAATAATAAAAAATATTAAGAATGGAACAAACGATCAATCGGTCACCGACCTTTTTTTGAATGATTTTCTTTTTTGCTTCCGAACAACTATAAAGCGATAGATTAGCTAAAGCTAATGCAGCGTGACGTAGTGTTATTGGAGTCTCGGTGGCACGTTTACACGTTAACAGGATATGATCAAGTACTCCGTATTCCACCAATCTGAAAAAAAAGGTTCTCAGAATTACTTTACCAACAAAAATTATCACTTCAAAAAACGAATTCATCGAAAAAAATCAGCTAAATGAGGTCTTTTGTTGTTCATCGATCAGCGAGCAAATATCTTTTGCAAATATCACCGCAAAAAGTTTTCCCATCAATTAGTTTCTTTTTTTCGAAAATGAAATCGAACATATTTGTCAAACAGCCACTCGAATACTTACCGTCAATAGCAAAAAAAAATTACTTCAGAAATTAAAAAAAAGAAAATATCGAAAGCTGATCGAAAGTCTGATCGAAAGTTCAAAATATGATCATCAAATTACGAAATCATTCGATTATCAGCTTTGACAAATCGAATGAATTGATTCACGAACAATCAAGTAAACAGTCAACGCCCATAATCTTAATTAATTATCAAATTCTCAACAATAATTATCAAATGTTAGTAACTATCAGACCATTTCAGAGCTATTTTAAAAATTTCTGTTCTTTCAATTTCATTAATGTTACTTTACATCCTTACAAACACTGAATGTTTATAGAGTTATTTGTGAACATTCACATGCAAAGTTCAAAGTCCTCTTTTGGAACTCATGAATCGGGTACACTTTGTTTGAGTGTACTTCTGAAGGGACTAAGTGATTCGAAGATAACTTCGAAACAATTCGAAAAATCGATTGAACAACAGAAGAGTATGATCTTTTCTTGTGAATTGGTGTTAACTTTTGGAGTGCAATGAGAAATATGAATGCAGGAAATTTTGATTTCACGATAGATAATGATTATCACAATCGTATCAAATTAAACCTTAAATCTTATTCATGGAAGAAGATGAATGGAATATGATAATGGAACGAACCTGTAAGATGTGGCAGTAGAATGCTTGAATAGACTTTCCATGATCGACAGTGACATTCGCTGCTGTTCAGGATTCTTACTTAATTTCATCGCTGTCGTTACCAGCTTCTTCAGATAACCCTTATTCACAACATATTCGCGGTTATTCAACGATAAACACTCCTCTAGAACACGTCCAGACGCAAGTCGTACTGCAATTGATTTACATAATTTCATTGATTCATCGCACAATTTTCATACTCATTCACACAATCACATTTCCATCATTTCATTTGACACAAAAAAAGATGTAATTTTGAATAGTTTGGTAATAATAAGAATGAGAATAATGTAGTGAATAAGTGAATCTCAAACAAACCTGGTTCACAAGTTTGTGCTTTAATGAAATGCATAATAAGAGCATCCAAATAATTTTGATCTCGTAAGTAATCACAAAGCGCATAAGAAAGGTCGTGCGATATTTTGGGGAACATCCACGCCTTTGTCATCACTTTGGCGACGATCGTACAGCCTTCGATGATTTGCTCATCACTTCCTTGAGCGATATGTTGAAATGCATTGTCGATGAAGTTCTGATACTTTGATAACTTCGTTTTTAACGTATGCATCATCATGACTTGTTCGGTGTGCGAATGCTTTGTCAACGGCCCATTTGACACTGTATCCTTTAAACACATTTCATCTTATTAATGGCACATTTTATAAGCTTAATATGACTTATCGCAAAGCAAGGCTGTTCACAAACAATTCGCCCGAAGTCGATAGTTCCGAGTTGCCCGGGAAATTCCAAAAACCTTTTCTTTTCCACCAAATATAATATTTCAGAAATGAAACATTTTTTAAATATTTCATCCTCATAATCACAGCTACAAAAATGGCATCGCCAGATACATCTATCGAAATCTATTCCAGCATAATCTACGCGCTATGCTATCTAA